ACTTTATAGAACTAACAAATTTGCAATATTTATAAAGTAGTTAGACTTTAAAAATGACAAATTTATATATTGAACTATTATTTTTAAAATCGAATTACTTATCCAATATAACGAATTTTTTAATTTTGTAAAGTGTAAATAGTTTTTAAAAAGCAATATTTTAATAAAATATACTTTAACTTTGATAGCTATAGAAAAAAATTTGTGCAATTAATAAAAACAAAAAGTTAATATATTCGAAAGTATAATTTTTAAAACCTAACTACTTCTTTAATATTATGAAATTTTCAATTTTGTAAAGTGTAAATAGTATTTAAACAATTAAATTTTAACAAAATGTGCTTTAATTTTTAATAGCTATAAAAATTTTTTGTGCAATTGCCGGTAATTACAACATTAAATTATAGATATATATTAAGTTATAATAATAATAACTATAATTTGAATTCGAAGCAATTTATAATTAAATTTAGATACTATATATATTATAACTTAAAAAGCGGCATATTTATTCTGTTGAAAATACCTATTTATATAAAATATTTGTGTTAATTAAAATATTTATATAGTATTAGCTATATTTTATTTTATATTAGATATAACAGTTAGTAGCTTATTTTTTAGATTTAAAGAATAATAATTTTAGATATTTTTAAATATATAATTTTAATAAATAATTGTTTAATTATATAATATTAATCTTTATTTTTAATAAATAATTGTTTAATTATATAATATTAATCTTTATTTTTAATAATATAAATCTGTAATTAATGTAGTTTAAAATTAATAGTTCTCTATTATTTTTCTGATATTAAATTTTTTAATATTTACTTTCTGATATTTTTTTATTAACAGTTACTTTATTATCGGAATTATATTATTAGTATTGGGAATTAACTATTGGTAAAAAATTTTTGGGAAATTAAAATTAGAAAAGTTTAATATTAGAGAAATAATAGAAACAATTACTAATCAAATTGTAAAATATAAATAAATATTTAAGTTTTAATAAAAATTTTATTTTTAATCTTAACTAACAATGCCTCCATTATCAAAACAAAAAAAACATATTAAAAATATTTCAAAAAATCAGGAAGAAAATAAAAAGCAATGGCAAAAAATTATTAATTTAATTGAAGAAATCAACCCTATTTTATTTCCTGAAATTTATAAAACTTTTTTTAATATTTCTTATATGTCTCAACATCCAATTACTACACAACAAAAACTTGTTAATATGATAGATAAAATGTCTAATCATGAAAAATCAAAAGCTATTAAGCTATTAAATACTATGCATTATCCTAAAGGAAAAAATAAAGATACTATAATTTCTGCACATTTACAAAATAAAGCTATGGATTTTATTAAAGAAAGTTTATATCAGCCTAATTCATCTATTCAAGCTCTTAAAGACGAAACAAAACAATTAGAATTTAAATCAAAAAAATTAACTCAAAAAAATATTAAGCTTATTAAAAAAACACAATCTTTAGGAACAAAATTTCAATATTCTAAAAAAAAATCTAATTGCCAAATATCAAAAATTCATTCTCTTGTTAGAAGATCTCAACAAATTTCTTCTACTCAATTTAAATCTCAAGTTAAAAACTTATTTAAAAATAATGATCGAAATTTTTCTCCAAATACTATATGGTTAACTACTCGAATGGCACAAATAGGACTTATGTTTTTTAGTCTGGCAGCAGAATATACTCAATTAATTTATGAATTTTTAACTGGAGAAAATTCACTTACTTTACCACATCATAAAACAATTTCAACTTGGCATAAAAATGCTTCAAATTTCTTAATTTCAAATACAGTTCAACAAATAAAACAAGCTGATTCATTTGGAATATTAGTAGATGAATCTACTCGTAGTGATATTAAAAATTTTGTTATTTGTTTTATGTTTTAGAATCTTGAAAAAAATTTACTAACTATTACAATGACTGATCTTAAAGATATTGACAAATGCAATGCAGAGACAGTTTCAAAAACTGTTATTGAAGTGTGTAATTCTTATAATATTAATATTTCTATATGTGCAGTATGGCTTACTGATAACACAGCATATCTTTCAGGAAATTTAAATGAAGCAGTTGTAAAATTTAATCGAGAAACAAATGCAAAAACAATTCGTATTGGATGTGGAATGCATATTATACACATTATATTTATAAATTTTGAATCTACTGCTTTTGAAAAATGACCAACTAAATTGGGATTTTCTAAAAAACTATTACCAATTAATCTTTTACACCTTACATGGGAACTTCATGATGGATATGATAAAAGTGACAAAGATCAACCTCTAAATATAATAAAAAATATCATTACAAATTTTTATAAAGAACTATTTGGATTTTGTTTTACACAATATCAATTTCCTATACCTACTAGATGGGGCTATGAGTTAGAATGTGCAAATCAATATCTTGAACATTATCAATATCATTATAAATTTGCTGAATGGTTTATTTTATAACTAGAAAGTTTAACACAACCACCTACTCTTTATCTTAATAAGTGGAAACTTTTTTATAGCTGGCTCCAAGACAAAAAATTGAATCTTCAAATAAAATGTTTGGTAAAATTTGGAGATTATTTTTATCGACCTTTAATGGATTTTATGTCAGGTTATGATTCAATTCCAAGAATATTATCTAAGGACAAACTTATTATGCTACCACCAGGCCATCAGGCACATGAAATGCCTGATAAAATAATTGAATGGTATAAATTTTTAGAAGATATTGTTAATAATTTTGATCTTTTTTTTTCGAAGAGCTATTAGAAGCTATAGAAACTTTACCTGGTGATGAATTTGGCAGTCTTTTTGAGGCCTTAGAATGTGGAATGAAAAAGGCTTTAGAGTCATTTTCAAAATGGTTTCTTCCTTGGACACAACTACCTTTATCTAGTTGCCACTTAGGTGGAAACTTAGGACAATCTTTTGCTCGAAGATATCGATATATATTACAAAATGAAGTTAACTCACAATTATCATTAACTGATATTGAAATTGAGTTTACTAAACAATTAAGCGAAGATATTAAAACTGGAAAAGAAGATACCTTCGGATTAAAAGATATGTGGCTTTATGATAACGAATTTAAAAGAGAGTTTAATCACTTTTGTGATACATCAGATGCAAACTTGATTAACTATCCGTTGTTATATCATTTTGTAAAAACTAAAATATATTATATTGTTGTTCACCAACAATATGTAGAAGGCTTGTTTAAAAAGCTTGATTTAAAAAGTCATCAAAATATGACTTTTAATATGAAAGAGTCAAAATTGCGCCTTTCAAATACTAAAATTACCAAAGATAATATTTATGAAGGATATGAAAAAATTCGATCCCGGCAATCTCAAAAAGAACCAAAAAGTGCTAATGATTCATTTGGAATAGAATTTGCAACCTAATTATTTAATAGCCAATTTCTATTTGTACACGGGGTGTTTGTACACGGATTTATAGAAAGCCAATCAGATTGCACGATCAGATGTAACGTAAAATTATTGCATTCTTTAAAAAATCGGTTATAACTCAAAATTTCGCTTATGAAACTGCCTTTTGGGTATTAATTAAAAAAATTTCTTGAGAAATTTTGGTATAAGCTACTTCCTGCCCCTAACCTTAGGCAGTATTTAGCTTTTCGTTCTATACAAATTGTTTTGATTTACACGTTACACAGATTTGCAAATTAATATCCGTGTACAAACACACCGTGTATGCTAAGAAATTTTCTATTTAATAAAACGTTCAAATAATCAACGCAATATATAAATTTTATATATCTTTTTTTTTTATTTAATTTCCCG